TAAACAAACACTCTCATGGTCAAGGCGCTTACAACTTGTCAACAACATACCATCACAAACATCTGACTATTGTGCAAAGATTAGGCGGCATCCGCGAGACAGCTTCCTTGCGGCTTTCACTTCCCCGCGTCATAATCAGCCATTACCCCACAGCTAACTCAACACCAAACACACTTTAAACAGCAGTCCGACAAGGGGACAACAGCAGCCACCTCATCGGTGTCGGTTGCGAGCCATGTCTTGTAAAGTCTGGAGCCAAGCACAACGCGAGTCAAGTAGACTCCAGCCTGGAAAGCGAGGCGGACCGGCCACACCAGGTTTGATCATCAGTGACTTTATCTCACGCTGCCAAATCAACTTCTGTCCACCTCGAGCTTTGCGCCACCCTACATCTGACAGAGTAAACAAGGCCCTCCTCGGTAAGCGGTGACCGGGCATACGTAGTACGTGCCTATGCAAACGCAACTTATTCAATGCTATCTGTTGTTCTAAGGAGCTAGCATGATTATCACTACCTAGTACTCGCCTACGTACATCATCATTGCGGACACGCTGTTGCCCTCCGACGCCAGTGATGATCAAAGACGTCTCAGCTCTTCAGACCGAAGGGGCCAAGTCTCACTCCCATAGAATAGGACGGCCTTCACTGTGACCTTGTAAACACGGCCTTTCAGATGGAAGTAAACTTGCTATCACCAAAATTGTCGCAGATTCAAGTGGATATTTCTGACTTTTACAATACGTGAACTGACTTCAGCGATTATACGCCCTTCACTGCTGCTGCAGCTGCAATAAATCGATCAACTACCTCGAGTTCCTCGCTATCAAGGATCAAGGGATCATCAAGTGCTTGGTGGTCCTATAACAGCACTTTGCACTTTAAAGTTGCGAAGCGCATGCCAGATGATTGGACCACTCTTAAGAGGCTATTCAGGGTCGATTGCACCGCTCCTACATCATTAAACAGCAAGACGGTATTGTCCGCGTAATCAAGATCAACAGGCCTTTCACCAGGCAACATCACAACATTTGCATGGTGAGGCTCCGCAAGGAAACGCTCCAGGATGCAGACCACGACGAACTTGATCAAACATGGGGAAATTGGACAACCCTGACTAACACCACATGTTGTCGGAAAGATATCCGATTAATCACCGTAGACTCTGACGCGACTTACCGTGTTCATGGATATAGCTCGTGAAATGTTCACCTATTTCATGAGTACACCTTTCCGCACAAGTATTTCGAACAGGATCTATCGATCGACTGAATCGAATGTACCCTTGAAGTCTCGGAACAAAGTTATTGTCGTTCTGCGGTATGCGTGTCGCTGCTCTAACACTTACCTCAGACTTTATATGTCGTCTATACTGCCCCGCCTGGACAGAGGCCTGCTTGCTCCTCCCTACTTCGGGATTTCCATTTCACACTGAGTCGACGCACGAGAATCGAGGCTAGTACTTATTTCACAACTGGTATTAGGCTAATATCCCTGTGGTTAGCACAATCGGTGCGACTGCGCCTGTTGTATATTGCCACTATAATCGAATCACTTTAGTTAGCCTGGATAGTCTCTTCATTCCAGACATGTTCGAACAGGGAGTTCAGTGCTTTTCAGAGGAACTCACCCCCATCCTCAAACAGTGCAGGTGGGAGAGAATCCGGGTCAGCAGCGCGAAAACGATTAAGTGCTGTGGTTGTGTTTCGGACATCAGCCTTCGATGGAGCCTCTAAACTAACCGTCCATGGCTAATGCTACGTCACCTGAGTAGCTGGAGGTTATGAAGCAGGGAACCAACTGAACTGCTCTCAAAAGTGCTCCGCCCAACGAGCTATACGGCCCTGCTTATTGTGAATCATGGCACCGCGCTGTCTGATTGTGTCACTAACGCCTGGTTTCCCGGGACCAGTGGCGCGAATCAGCTGGAATAGGTTCCTATAACTGCTTACTGCTACCGTCTCCTCCGTTTTTTGAGCCCGACTGGTCCGCCACTTGTCAACACGCAAGCTCCGTTTTGGTTCACGCCAAATGGTCCGTCTGGTCACATTGTACACAGAGCGGGCCGAGAGTTTTCTTATGGATTCCAATAGGTTCATCGATCTTTGAGATATCCCGTGACAGATGCGTTGACGATTGATACTGCCACAATCAGGTGCTTCCGCATGTGCATGGTGGCCGAGATCCTCTTCCACTGGTGCTTAGTGTCATTAGAGCAGGAGTGCGAAAGTTCGATACTCTGTACATCCTATTAGGCTAGTCCAACCGAGGGCTAAGTACTCAATTGCCAATCGAGGGAGACCTTTGGTGCGCCTCCCGTAAAGTTCATGTAATAAAGGACAGCTTATTAGGGCATGATCAGACTCCACGCAAGTACTCTAGAACGAGCGGCAATCTAGGATGAAACCACGCCACCTGTAACATAAGGCAATGTGATCTATTTGGGTCCATCGTTGGCAAGCTACAGGAGGACGCCAACTGGCACTTCGGCGCCCACTTTGTCTAAATGCGGTACTATTAAGAAATAATCGGTGTTCCGCACACAGCTGCGGCAGACGGTCACCGTTTCCAGTCCGTTCGGATTTAAGCCCATGTTTACCACCTAGCTTAACTTCTGATAAGGCTAGGTGGCCTACTTGTGCGTTCATATCCCTTGATGTCTAACCGTTAGCACTACGTAGTAGCGTGTTCAATTCGTGGTAGATGTCCTTCGCAGTATCAGGGCTTCTGTCGGTGAAGACATAAGTGGAAAGCACAAACAAACAGCGTCTTGTACTACGTGAATCAACCTTAGTCGATGTCGTCAAACAGGCTGCACACTAACGGCTGTTCACGGGATTCCAAACAACCAGCGATGACAGCCATACAACTGGGAACGATGCCCACACCAGCGTCTCCGGATGCGTGCAACCAATAGCGAGAGCACAAGCAGTGCGCAGTTAATTCCACAACCCCGTGAGAGTCCTTGATCCTACTTTCGTATACCCAACACACATCCCTACCCTGTGTGTCCAACGTGCGTGCCAGTGCAGCCTGCTGACCTATTTGTCTTAGAGTGCGAACGTAGAACGCCGCCAGGAAAACGGGACAACGTGGCCTTATAAGGGCCTGTTGCCGATAGGCGTCCAGTAGATGGTGCGGGAAGGTACGTGCAGACAGTTTGAGTGCAGTGGCATTGCGGCTGCTGTCATTTACGCTGGGAATCATAGAAAGAACGTTAGTAATCGGGGTTGAGAGAAGTAAAAGAGACAGATGGAAAAGAAAAGGGTAGTTGCCTGCAGTAGCATATTTACGCTTACCCGCCCTGCTGTATGCAGAAGGTAAGGCGACTCTTGATGAGCTGCGCGACGGCCGATGCAGGATGTCATTAAAATTTGGGGAACTTGCCATGGTTGTATGTGGGATGAGATACCGCCAGAGCGCCCAGACCGGGACAGTAGAGCGATTAGAGTCCTCAACCAGAGCCTTCAGCTCGAAGGGCTGTGCGCAAAGCAGCACGGAGGTGGCATTGCTTTAGTTTTACAAAAATTGGCGCCATCTCATCTCAAACCTCCAACCTGGCGGACCAGGAGACTGAATTTGTCTAACCCCTAACCATTGACCAACTTGGTAGGAGTAGCTCTCAAGGGGCCCTTGGGCATCACCCAGTATAGCTTAGTGGATCAAAGAAGTACGCAAACCGTTGCACCACGTTAAGTTCCGATCTCGTTACAACGGAATTATGTGGATCAGACTTACACCCAAAGAAATAATTTAGAATCGCGAAAGTGGCTGAATTTGCCGAGAATTAACGCCGAAACCTGCAATGCACAAGACAATAAACCGAGCACACTGACCGGGAAACAGAGCGAGGAACGCCGATCGGCGCACACTATCCGCAGTTGCGTGACAGCATGTTCGTAGACGTGTGTGTTTAACTCAGTCACCGCACAGGCTTCCGTTTCTGCACCTACCTACGGACATGTGTAGTTATTATTATGTCATTAGAGCTCGCCTACACTGAAATCAATTGCAAAGTAGTGCTGGAGTAATGGAAACTTATTACAGCCCTTCTGCACGGTATGTTTGCAATAACTGCCTACCGTCTGATGTATCTTAGCGTCCAATCACCGAAGCCAGCTGCTTTTGGTTATCATCGGAGTGCTGAGAAGGGCATGTTACCAACATGATGCGGTGCTCACTGTTGTGACTGGATCATCCGCACAAGGCAGCGCAGTGTTATATAGTCGAAGTAGTGAGATGCATTAGTCAGCCGTTGAACAAAGTACTTGTCTCACTATATAGTGGAACTTGGTTTAACGGAGCTACTTGTCTGCACCTTAACTGAAGGCGATTTGCTTAGTGGCAAAACGGTGGGCGGTAATTCACCGGTCCATTTGCCCTTTCCTCTGTTCCTCAGCTGTCGTTCGGATGAAGGCCCCCCAGTGTTTGGGCGCTGATCTAAAATCTTGATTTGTTGCCACCCACTTGCACCTTATGTGCGCAGTCTTGAGCTCTTTGTGTATCCTGAACAAATTCTGCTTCGCCTCGGATTCTCTCCACTATCCCAACAAATGTTGCATATGCAACCACATCACTGCGCCTGTCCCACCTCATCTTAAACAACCGTGGGAGTTAGCAGTCGTATTAATTGGCTACTCGATGTGTGTATGTGTATTCCCTTGAATTTTTTAGCCACATGTCCCGCCTTCTTCGACTCATTCTGGCCGTGAACTTCGAGTTCGGATGCACTTGCCATTTGGGCTCCGAATCGGTTTGTGTACACTTCTGCCTTGACCCATTTTCACCATTGCTTCATGCTTGCTCGCCATCTGGTTTCTCCGGAATTTTTGGTTCCCTCTTTAGATCTTAGATGCACTGTATCAATACAGGGGTTCTAGGTTTTACAAGTCTGACCTCAGGAGTTTGAGTTAAGGCATAATTTCCCCTTAAGCACCATTGATATGTTCTGTCTATGTTGTGACTTACTCTGTCCTCTCAACTTCTCTTCATCCTGTTACAGCGACATCTCAACAGTCCCCAGATACTTCCGAGAACGACTCATCGGAAAAACCTGCTAAGCTGTCTGACAATACCTGTAGCGGCCCACCGAGAAGTTTCCCCATGAACAATCGTGATCTGGCCTTTGCTACTGCGGTTCAGCAATCTTTGGTAGCCACGGTCAGTCCTGCGGCGTGGCTGGCAACCTCCGGTGTACTCTACATGCGTGTGTCTTCTAACGAAGCTGGTCTTTTAATCGGGGCAGGTGGATACCGCATTCACCAACTTATGCAGTCGACTGGTGCGGAAATTCACATCGGCAAGGTACATCTGTTCACCGAGCACTTTTTCTTCTTCATCGTATTTGCCTTTCACTACCAGTATACTCTCACAAGTGGTATATTTGCAACAGTCTATGAATAGACATTGCACCATCGGAAACCATGGAACTCAAAACAAGGTACAGAAATAGTAAAAGAAAACACAACACAACAATGTCCACGGTTTCGTCAGAGGGCGAAATACTACCCGGTTGCCCAAGCCGAAGTGGTATACCCATCTTTCACTGTTATCTCTATCATGCGCATTTCCAAGAAATCAGCTGCACGCCCTTTATATTCCAGGGTTTATTAGTCGCGGCATGCCTTATTCTAGCCTACGTTTTGACAGCATGACCTCTTGTCCACGGCGACCTGTTTTCCGTTTTGCTCGCGAGCTCAGTATATCTAGGCTACCACGATAAAGCGTCAAGGAAAAGGTGAATTTCTGTTCGTCTTCCTCTATCCCTCTAACATAGCCGCATCGGCTCCTTTTCATATTCACCAGGCCTATACATGTTTGGCGGCATCCGGTTTCGGATTTGCCTGTCACTGTGGCCAGCCACAGGACGCCTGCGCCTACAGAGGGGGACCATGGATGGCTTGCGCTACACCACCCACAGCTCCAACCACACACCCCATATCCAGTGTAAACCCGAAGGAATAAGACCGGGAGGCATGCGGATGGGAGTCACGTTTCATCAACGGAACCGGCCCACACCCCTTCACAGGCATACACAAGCATGCTGTATTTGGGGAATCAAGCGCACACAAGGCGGTGGCTGGACCGTAGTCCGCTCCACACTGAGTGCATGGAACCACTCTTTGATCCTAACACGGCCACGAAGATCGTGCACCCCGTCCCCTCCAGCAACGACCAGCTGTCTGCTGGGGCCAGTATGGACGAGGTAGTGGGTAATAGACAGGTAGACACCTTGTCAACATGCACATCAAACGCAGCCACACCAGGGATGTCAGACACAGTCAATCACTTGAAATGACATTATCAATTTAAATAAATCTGTTAAAGAATATGGATATGCAGACATAGCTCTTCGCTAAATTACTATATCAAGTAAGTTGGTTAGTAACGAATCCGCGATGAGTAAAAAATGTCCACAAGTTACTTAAAAATGCTACAAACGCAACAAAGTTACCGAAGAAAGCGCAATCAGCGTAAGCAACTTGGCCAGTTAATAGAGGCTTATTCAGGTAGGCTAAACAAACCAAATAAAGTGGAATGAAATTTATTTAGCTTAAAAATATCTAGTTTAACTGTAAGTTGGTTTAGCGCAACTGCGATGAAGCACCATGAATACTACATCAGTGTAATCATGGGGCACAGGCCCACAAATATATGTATGTATCTATATATATATATATATATATATATATATATATATATATATATATATATATATATATATATATATATATATATATATATATATATATATATATATATATATATATATATCGGAGGTCACATGTCGTCCTATTTTCTACTCATAGGTGATTTAAATTGTTCTCGGATAAGCTGGCCTGAAGTTGAACTTATGGGAGGTCGAAACAAAGTTCGTGGATTTACTACTTGAAATTGGAACTGCGTAACATATATACAAGCCGACACGAAAAACGCCGCACTCAGATCCCTTGTGCCTGGACTCGGTTTTAACAAGCTCTGAACAACATGTGTATGACGTTTAGGTCCTAGAGCCCCTAACAGCAAGCGATCACTCAATGCTCATAACCAGTATGGATCTATCTTTACCGTATTCCCTTCCGCTAGAGTCAGCTTACAACTACTGGAAAACTAACTTCGACATTCTAACTCAAACCGCGGGCCAGGTACATTGGTCTCTGCCGCAAACTGCCTCCTTGGCGACTGTTGGACTGTTATTAGAGAAATACCGACATTATTGTGTTTTCAGTTTGTACCCTTGAGGTGTCGGAAACTTGAACCAGTCAACCGCCTTGGTTCGACAAGGGGTATGAATGCTTGCAGGCAGTAAATCAGGGGAAGTCTGTCAATGTAATTTACATCGATTTCAGTAAAGCGTTCGACAAGTCAAACCACGAGGTCCTCTCCGCAAGCTGAGGAATGTGCCGTGTTAGTGGATCACTGCACCAGTGGATCTAGGACTTTCTCGTCGGGCGAAAGTGGAGGGTACAGGTCGACGGACTTCTAACTGAATGGTATCCCTCTACTAGTGGAGTACCCCAAGACACGCTGCTGCGGCCCACTCTTCTTCTAATTCACATCAACGATCCACCTCAGCTCCTTCGGTCGCCGCGTGCCCTGTTTGCAGGCGACATGAAGATTTGGAAATTAGCACACCAGACGACTGCAGCCTACTACAGCACGACCTCAACCGCCTCTCCATGTGGTCTGCGGAAGTCCGCCTCCCGGTCAACCCATCCAAGTCGGTATTTATGAGCCTGGGGAAAGGTGGTGATGGCCGAATTTACACCATTGACGGCCAACCGCTACATCCCACATCTTCCGTGTAGGACCTAGGTGTACTCTCGCGCTGCGATTTGAAGTCTGTTGACAACACGAACAGACTATATCGTAACGGACTGCGCATGCTTTGGGCGATCAAACGCAGCTTCTGTACTTGGTCTGAAGAGGTCGCCACTCGCCTCTTCTCTTCCATCATAAGACCAATACTGGAGTACGGCTCACCTACCTAGTACCCAATCACCCGAGGCGAGGCACAGAAGATCGCACAGGTCCAACACGTCGCTACCGGGCTCAGTCCAGGTTTACGGGAATTGTCGTACGAAGACGGGTGTGAGAAACTCGGACTCCACACCTTGTCCTCTCGTCCGGTGTGAGTCGATCACATTATGACTTACCGTATAGTACATCTCAGCGACTTCGCCATGTGAAGCCGCTGCGTCATTGGCGAACGCAATGCAACACACGCGGACACCGGTATAAGCTTGTGGTGCCGGAGATAAAACAATTACCCCACCCCCTGTGCTTCGAACGGAGAGTGATAAATGATTGGAACCGTCTACCGGAACGAGTCGTGGAGGATAAATTTGTACAACAGTTCAAAACGTTATTGGATTTACATTTCAGTCCTAGTCGATTCAGAGAACGATTACACACCAGCAGTGACATCTTGCTTGCATTTGTGAAACTGTAAATCAGATATTCTAAAATGCTACTTAAGAACTTGTCGAACAATTCGCTTATCACGGAGTGCCGACACTTTTTATGACATTTTTGTCTATATTACCATGGAGTTGTATAGATTTTTAGTTCCACTTAATCCCACATGCAGTATTCAGTATACCACGCGAATCAAGCAGCTACGTGTCTAGCTCCTTTGCTGCATTTGATCTCGCTACCTATCCACAACCATCAGCTCAGTTTCACGGCCGTGTTCCGTGCACGAGAGTCCACTGGATCCATTTGTCACTAGTCATGTCGCCATACGATAGTAGATAACAGTGGTGCTAGAAATGAGGTTGTATGCAAACCGAATACAAACAAGGGAGTAACATTAATCGAGATGAAGTCTTCATTGCTATTTGAACGTCGCTAAATACTCTGGAGCGCCACTGACTGTGTCACTTCCGAAGTGGTCTGTAACCACTCATGTGTTTTACTTCGAGACTCTCATCCACGAAGACTGCACGCACCAGCCTAACAAAGTCTCTGGATCGACTGTCGACTTGATACTTCGCTCAGTTAAACGCATCGGCGGCGTATAGTGTCCGCCGAGGAAGGCGATCAACGGGTATACGATGGATATAGCCATCATCATCAACAGCAGCATGGCAGCTTCGCTGCCATACAACCATGATGACCTATGAAATAAAGAACAATAAGAGGGAGAGAAGGGGGACTTACCTGAAAACCTTAATGCCCTAAGCAAACATTCAGGGACAAAGCGCCTACACCTTGTGTAGACAACATACCGCCACGAACAGCTGGCTATCGTGCAAAGATAAGACGGCATCGGCGAGACAGCTTCCTTGCGGCTTTCACTGCCACGCGTCATAATCAGCCATTACCCCGCAGATAACTCAGCACCAAACACACTTAAAACAGGCAATCCGATTAGGAGACAGCAGCTGACGTGTCACTGGTGTCGGTTGCGAGCCATTTCCTGTAAAGTCTGGAGCCAAGCACAAGGTGAGTCACGTGGACTCCAACCCGGAAGACGAGACGGACCAACGGCACCCAGTTTGGTCGTCAGTAACTTCATTGCACGCTGCCAAGTCAATTTCTGTCCACCTCGAGCGTTGCGCCACCCTACACCTGGCAGAGTAAACAAGGCCCTCCTGGGTAAGCGGTGACCAGACACGCGTAGCACGTGTCTAAACCAACGCAACTTATTCAGTGCTATCTGTTGTTCTAAGGAGCTAGCATGATTATCACTACCTAGTACTCGCCTACGCACATCATCGTTGCGAACACGCTGGTGCCATCCGACACCAGCAATGCTTCGCACCCGTCAGTGATCAAAGACTTGAAGGCGCCTCAGATCTTCAGACCGAGGGGGCCAAGTCTCACTCCCATAGAGCAGAACGACCCTCACTGTGGCCTTGTAAACGCGGCCTATCAGACGGAGGAAAATTCCCTTCTGCGCCAAAGATGCCGCAGGTTCAAGTGGGCAGCTCTGACCTTTGCAATGCGTGAGCTGACCTCAGTTTCTAGGCGCCCATCGTTAGCGAGGGTCGAGGGGTCATAACGTGGCTGGTGGTCCTGCAGCAACACCTTGACTTTGAAGGTGCGAAGTGCATATCAAATAATGGGACCACTCTAGACAGGCTATTCAGGGTTGATTATGCCGCCGCAACATCGTCGAAAAGAAAGACGATATCATCCACATAATCTAGATCAACTAACCTATCACCAGGCAGCACTTCAACGCCTACATCGTGAGATTCCGCAAGGGAACACTGCATGATGAAGTCCACGACGAAATTGAACAAAAACGGGGAAATCGGACAACCCTGACGAACGCCACTTGTGGTCGGAAAGCTATC